TATTATTCTATGATTCTATGATTAACCGTTGACAACAGAATTAGTCTGTCTCAAAAATTACTTTTTTTGGTGAAAAGTGAAAATATTAAAAAATACATTGATGAAAAGTTTCATCTTGGGAGCAACAGTCTCCATATATTTGGCATCTTTAAAAGAACTCATCCAAGACAAAGAACAACAGTTTTGTATCAAGCAATCCACACATTAAGATCCAAAGCCATTTTGCATAAACTTTATTTTGAAAAACAAGGAAATTAAAATATTGCTTCCATTCTCTTTTGGAGTTGATTAAGTTTCATATAAAATCCAAGAGCAAAAATATTTTGTACAAATATTCATAAAAGGGTAATGAAATCCACATGATATAGAACTATGAAATCTATCTACATTAGTCAGCAATTAAAAGAAATAAAGAGATTAAAAAGGATTTTTGGTCAAAAACATTGTTGTACATTGGGAATATTCATTCAGTTGTGTTATTAAACATTTAAATGCAGACAAAATAATTGTCACAGCATTTCTGAATTTTCAAAAGCTGCCAAGATCCTAAGTCAAAAAGACAAGTTCAGAAAAACCAAATCCTCTTCCTGAATTGAAGAGTTACAAAAAAGGAGAAGAGAGGTTTAACCAATAGAAAGCATAAGAAATGGCTCCATCCATAAAACCAAGCACACACATACTGTACCACAGAGATTAAGGAAAGAAGGCAGAGAAGAGCCTTTGAGTCCTTTTGACAGTTTGAAGGAGGCAGGGCTGTGGTTTCAGGGTACCCTATTTGTATCAGCTGCATTTGTTGCTACACATGAAAACAGCATGAGCAAGTATTCTCAGGTACAGATATAATCAGTTTGTCTTAATTTTACTGAGGTGACCAAGAAATGATGGAGGAACAATGTAGAGACAATGAGTCTGAAGGTGAGGTACAATCTCCTTCCCAGAGGGAGCTCTGAAGTCTGAACATTCTCAGTAAACATTTGACACTCATGTGCTCTCCTCAGATGATCTCAGTTGGTGTTTCTCTGAGGGAGAGGAAGGGTCTCATGAAGATACTTCATACTCCCATGCTCAGAGAAGTCAGAAACAACATGATTCTCCCCTTTCAGCAACCACTTTGTAGTTAATAGCCCCTCAATTCCTACTGGCCCACGGGCATGGATACGAGAAGTACTGATTCCAACCTCTGCACCTGCAACCAAGAGGGAGGTTTAGACATAAGATGATGAAAGGAAGTTTTGTGCAGTTAGCGCTTTGCTGGGACCATTTTCTACCATCAATTCTATCATTTAATTTCTTCTAAGAGGGAAACAGAAAAGCCAGTATCTTGTTTTCCCATGCCATTTTTGCAGGCCCCAGACCAGTATTGTTGAATTTACAGTTTAGAAATAACAGTCGTATTATTCTGCAGACATGTATCTTTATTCTTCCTACTTTTACCATCATGAAAGCATCGTTTCTTTAGTACTGTGGCAAGAACAATAGGAACATTTCATTTTCCAAAAAATGTCAAGTTCATAAATAGATCCCAAACTGGCTCTTAAGAAAAGAGAGAGAAACCCTAACTAGATAGAACAGACTAAGTTTGTGCTTTAGTATCTCTGCCATTCACAGTCTAGGGTAGCCTCAGCCAGGACATGAAGCAATGATTAGACCACAAAGCAGCAGTTGTGGCTAGGCAGTGTGACCAAGCAGCCAGGTAACAGAATTGGAGTGGCTCCAGAGGCAATCCCCTACAATTGTGCTCTAAACAAGAGTGCTTCCTTCACACTCTCTCTCTGCAAGTTCCAGAAGCTGCGTGGGAGGAGGCTGTTCTAAAGAACCTCTTTTTCTCTTCCCCTCACTGCATGCAGTTCTGACGTTTTAGTAGCTGGTAACAGTGCCTGCCAAAGTACAGGCAGTCCCCGACTTACGCGGATCCGACTTATGTCGGATCCGCAGTTACGAACGGGGCCGCCCCAGAGCACACGGACTGCGGGACCTCGCGGTCCTGCCGCCCGTGTACTCTGGGGCTTTCTCTGCGTCTCCCTGGTCTGCAGACCAGGAAGACGCAGAGCAAAGCCGCGGAGGGGCTCAGGCAGCCGGGCAGCCCAGGCACGCCTGGGCTGTCCCGCCGCCGGCTTCCCCCGCAGCTTTGCAAAGCCACGGAGGGGCTGGGGCTCCGGGGCAGCCCAGGCGCGCCTGGGCTGTCCTGTCCTCTCCAGCAGACCAGGGAGATGGGGAGCAAAGCCTCGGAGCACGCCAGCAGTGGGACAGCGTGGCGCGCCTGGACTGTCCCGCTGCCCGCGTGCTCTGCGGCTTTGCTCCGCGTCTCCCAGGTCAGCAGACCAGAGAGATGGAGCAAAGCCGTGGAGGACTTGGGCGGTCCCGCCACCCCCGTATCCCTGGTCTGCTGGGGGAGGGGTGCAGCTAGTGCCCCCCCCAGCAGACCAGGCTTTTCTTGCCTACCCCTGGGGTAGAGCACTCTGGGGCCTCCAGGGTTCTCGAAGATAATTACTAATGGTTCCAAGTTTGCAAGTTTGCTTCAGTTAATATCTTATGTAACCAGGATGAATTTCATCAGGTACTACTAACTTGAATCTACCTAATTTATCACAATATTCTTTAATCTGTTATTTTCCTATTTTGTCTTGGGTTCTTCCCTCGTGTTGTGAATAATTGTATTAAATATCTGGTCACCATTAATCTTTTTAATGAAACCTGAAGCATAATAGGCATTAAACCTCCCAGACCTTCTTGATGTCATCAGATCTTCTTCCTCACTAAGCAGACTAACACTTTCTGATGTCTTCCTCATGCTCCTAACATTTTTAAAGATCTCTTCTTATTACTGCTTATACAGGCAGTCCCCGCAGTTACGAACGGGGCCCTTCCTCTCCCTGGTCTCCAGCAGACCACGGAGAGGAAGCAAAGCGGTGGAACACGCGGGCAGCGGACAGGGTTATCCGCTGCCCACGCGCTCCGCGGCTTGGCTCTGCTTGTATGTAAGTCAGAACTGGCGGTCAGTTTCAGCAGCGGCTGAATCTGGACGCCAGTTCCGACTTACATACAGATTCAACTTAAGAACAAACCTACAGTCCCTATCTTGTACGTAACCCGGGGACTGCCTGTATGTGATGAGAATTGGGAGGGTGCAACACATTCACTTCTAGTTCTACCAACAGGATGGATAAAAATTGAGTTAAAAGTAAGATTTTGATTTAAAGAAGCTTCTTTTAAAAAGTATTTAAAATTAATGACAACCTGTGGTACTCGATTGTACTAAAGCCACTGAGCTTAGCAAATGACTTCCACTAGTTCCTGACACCAGAGTTCGTTGCAGTGCTCAACGAGCTATTGACAGCGGCAGCCTCTTCTGCAGATACTGAGAGAATATTTTCTATCTTTCTGTTTATTCAATCACTATAGCATAACAGCTATTTAATTCATAGTTAAAAAGCTAACAGGCAGATGAAAAGGCAGGAGACTGTTTTCTTCATTCAATCCATGAATAAAGAATGAGTTGTGAAGATTAGATTAACTATTTTTAAAATTTTCAAGGTCTTGATTACTAGAAACAATCAGTTCTATTCATTAACTATACACAACACTTGCTTTAATGAATGAGTTAGTTTTATATACAAAATATGTTTCGCTTTTTCTTCTGATGCAGCACATTTAAGATTGTTTTATTAAATAAACTAATTTTAAAAGGCTGTTTTTGTGCATTTTAATTCAATTCCAATTTCCATATCAATGGAATCTGACACAAATCATGAAAACTCATTCCGATTTCAAATCGGACTATAGCAATTCTTTAGAAAATGGCCAGTGAAACCATTCTGGAACTGAAACAAAGGAGAATGCAAAATGAAACCCAAATGTTGTGATTTTAGAATATGATCTCTCTTAGTATGTACATGTCCTGTGTTCAGAACAATGGAGCATCAATTTTGGTTGAAGGATCTAAATGCTACTGTAATTTAGCAACATTACATCTTATTTTATGATCTTGCTCCAGTTAATTCAACCCACCAGACTGTCTCCTAGTCCCATAGAGTAGAAGATCCAAGTTTCAACTTTTACTACAGTATGTTCTGTAAAACTTCTCTCATTGGCAGGCAGGCAATCAGAGACGGGACTATCCCATCCTACAGGATTCAGGTTGGCATTCTCTGTCATTCTTATGGGAAAACGTGAAAATCCCAAATTCAGATCCCCAGCTGCAAGCAGCACAAAATAATTCCACTCAACCCCTTACCAAGTCCAAACCGATATCCATCGGAGAATCGGGTGCTGGCATTCCAGAAGACACAGGCACTGTCCACATGCTGAAGAAAGAACTCTGCTGTTTTCTCTATAAGAAAGAGAAAAATCTGAATAGACACAGATGGAACAAGGCTCTCAAATCAAGTAATGGGTGCATTATGAAAACCTGAACAGATGTAATGCTATGTGAGACACTTAATTGAGCATCCATGACCAGAACAATGCTTACATGTCTCTTTCTCCACAGCACAGACTCAAAAATATAGATCTGCAAACAGAAGAATGAGACTAGGAGAAAGAGGAAAAACTACAAAGTTCCCCATTGCTTGTAAGGAGAAAAATTGTTCTCCTTGACCTCTGATGACTGGCCAAGAAGCAATGGACTTAAATTGCTGCAAAGAAGGTTTAGGTTGGACATTAGAAAAAACTTCCTACTTGTTTTGGTGTAATAAATTGCTAGGGAGATTGTGGAATCCCCATCACTGGAGATATTTAAGAGCAGGTTAGATAAACATTTATCAGGGATGATCTAGAATGGTGTTTGATCTTGCCGCAAGGGCAGGGGACTGGACTTGATGACCTCTTGAAGTCCCTTCCAGTTCTAGTGTTCTATGATTCTATGAGAGCAACTGGTGCAGGACAGGTAAAAGTACACTCTACATACTCAGGGTAGACTGAACAAAGCCATTCAGGTCACTAACCGTTCTCTGTGACGATAACATCTGTGTGTGAACTTCCGTACTTGTGGATATGATCAATTGCTTCCTGGACACTATCGACAACCTCAATGCAACACTCTAGATCACCATATTCTGTACGGAGAGATTTTACTTCTGAAGGACTGAAAGTCAAATATGAGGCAAATTTGGGACCAGCATGAATCTTCACCTGCAAGAACAGAGGATCTGATAACATCTATTTTCTATGCAGAATGGACACTTTTGAATTACATTCTTACTAGGCAGAAAGCCAGTTGCAGCATAAAGATCTTAGCTTATCTGGATTCCTGAATGGAGTTTTACATCATAAGATGTAGAAACAGTTTCAGGGAACTTGATGACAACTAGTAACAGGATACAGACTTAAGTCATGGTAGACCTGAATATCAACTCTCAGTATGACATTGTAGCTAAAAAGGGTTAAGACAATTAGACTCCTGTTCGCTTATCTCAAACAGGAGTAGGGAGGCAACATTACATCTAACACAACACTAGTGAAATCCTATTTGGGGTACTGTTCCCAGTTACATTGAAATCATGGAGTGGGAGTTCAGTGAAAAGCTACAAGGATCCGAAGTCTAGAAAGAGACACTGCACAAGAAACTTCAGGTACTAAGCCTATGTGGTTTACCAAAATGGAGATTAAAAGATTTCAAATCAGGGCCAGTGTCTCTCCGGAATATATGCTTTACGTCAAACATAAGTTACTAGGTTCACCACAGCAGTAAGTGAATGAAGTTCTCTGGCCTATATTGTAAAGGAGGTCAGACTGGATAATCTAATTATGCCTTCTCTCCTTAAGACTTAGTAGTTTAAGCACAACTTCCAACTACTTACAAAGAGAAACAAGAGAAGGTACTGGAGGACTAGTCCACAAACAGAGATGTGTGTCACGTTACTGGATTTTAAAGTGAGCAGACAGATCACTGTTGCACCCACAAGTGGTGTTTGCCCCAAATTCTGTACAAAGGGGGCCATGTGAGGTGTCAAATAAAAGCGTATGCTCTACGGATTCTATGTATGCTACTCATGTACTTGTATGATGTTTGTATATGAAGTTATGAATACGGGCTCTATTCTTGTACTGTAAATGTTCTGTCTGGGAAGGAGCAATGGACCTGGACTGCCTATTCTGAGGAATGATAGTTCAGTGAATACCTGTGCTAACTAGCTCTGCTTCTTGGACAATGGCTCTTGGGAGTGGCCAATACACACCTGAGAAATGTGTCTGGAAGCCTACCGACCGGCCAGTGCCTCATGGCTACTTGCATGTGAAACATAGATAGGTCACTTGATCATGTGACCAGTTTCAGTTTGGGAGACACCAGGAATATAAAAATCCCATGAGGCCATCTCCATCTTGTCTTCAGTCTTGCTACTGATTCCAGATGCATCCTTGCTAGGGACAGAGAGCCGGGAATGATTGCTGACCCATCCTAATACAGGATGTACACCAGAGACTTCTAAGCTAGCAGTTTGTAACATCTCTGCTAAAAGCCTGCATCAAGAACTTGGTGATTGATGTTTGTAATGTATTTTCCTTAACAATCTTACTCTCAACCTTTTATTAATAAACCTTCAGATTTTAGATTCTAAAGGATTGGCTCAGCACGCTCTTATGGGTAAGATCTAAAGTGTAAGTTGACCTGGGAGAGTGTGGCTCATTCTTTGGGACTGGGAGGATCTGTTCAGAGTAGGTGAGTTCGGGTTTTATAACCTCTCACCTGTGTGTAAGGTCCAGGGCTGATTGTGGCACACTGTGGGGTCTCTAAGGGTTTTTGCTCACGAGGCTTCCTGCTGGCCAGATTGGCAGCTGAAGTGCTCTGTGCAACTGGTTTGTGGCATATTTGGGAAAGGCCTCCAGTCAAGAGCTGTAAGTAGCCCAGGATTTGAGCAACTCGTCCTGAGCTAACGCCCTCAGTGGTGCTCAGACCCGACCAGGTCCGTCACTGGATGACACAATTCAAAGTCTGGAAGATGAAGCTACACAAATGTAAACGGAAAAGAACATTAACAAGAACCTGTGGCCAGACTGGGTTAAGGATATTAAATACCAGTTAATTTACTAGTTTAATAGTTGATGGAATTTCTAATACTCGACTAGTTGATAGGTACTCCTGCATTCCTCCTCTGAAATGTACAAGAGCCCTTGTACACTTCAAAGGAGGAATGCACAACTCCACGTGCAGCCCAGGGCCAGAGGGAAGTCCTGCTGACTCGGGGCACTATGAGAGCACTTCTGCTTTGAAATGCTTCCTGCTGGCTCCAGGCTGCACACAGTGTGACAGCTTTGAAATGTCCCCAGTGGGAGCTCTTGTACATTTCAAAGCAGAAGCGTCTGCATGGAGCCTGGGGTCAGAGTCCCTCACTGACCTTGGGTTCCATGCTGTGCTGCCGCTTTGAAATGCCACGTGGAGCCGGGGTCAAGCTCAGGACTCCTCAGCTGATCCTGGGCTCCATGGAAGTGCCGTGCAGAGGCCGGGGCGTTTCAAAGTGGCAGCACCACACGGAGGCTGGGGGATGGGCTCCGTGTGGCGCTGACGCTTTGAAGTATCCTCTCTTCCCGCCTCTTTGCTGTCTCTATCCAATAGAGGGAATGAACAGAATGGGGAATATCAAGTGATTCTTTCCCTGTCGCCTAGTCCCAGCTTCTAGCAAACAGAGGCTAGGGACACCATTCCTACTCATCCTAGCTAGTAGCCATTAATGGACCCAGCCTCCAGGAATTTATCTAGCTCTTTATCCTCTGGCAAGGAGTTCTGCAGGTGGACTGCACGCTGTGCGAAGAAAAACTTTCATTTGTTTATTTCAAACTTGCTACCTCTTCATTTCATTTGGTGACCCCTAGCTCTTCTGTTATGGAAACAAGTAAATAACTTTTCCTTATTCATTTTCTTCACACTAGTCATGATGTTATAGATCACTATCATTTCCCCCACCTTAATCTCCTCTTTTCTACTATGAAAAGTCCCAGTCTTCTTAATCTCTCTTCATGTGGGACCCCTTCCAAACCTCTCATCATTTTGTTGCCCTTTTCTGAACCTTTTCCAGTGCTAAGAGATTGTTTTTGACATGAGGCGACCACATCTGTACGCAGTATTTAAGATGTGAGCATCCCATTGATTTATACAGAGGCAATAAGTCAGCTATTCTCTGTCTTATTCACTATCCTTTTTAAATGATTCTTAACACTGCTTTTTTGACTGCTGCTGCCCATTCATTGGATATTTTCAGAGAACTATCAACAATGACTCCAAGATCTCCCTCGAGTGGTTATAGCTAAATTAGTCTCCATTTTATACGTATAGTTTGGATTTTTTTCCAATGTGCATTACTTTGCATTTATCGACATTAAAAATCATTAACTATTTTGTTACCCAGTCTCCTAGTTTTGTAAGATTCTTTTGAACCTCTTTACAGTGCACTTTGGTCTTAACTATCTTCAGCAGTTTAATATCATCTACAAATTTTGCCACCCATGTGTGTACCCATTTTTTCTAGATCGTTAATGAATATGTTGAATAGAACTGGTCCCAGTACTGGTCCTGAGGTGATGTGTACCCAGTTAATATCTGTTCTAGAAATTGTTCTAGATTTGATCCTAACAAATAGGGAGGAACTGATTGAGAATTTGAAAGTGGAAGGCAGCTTGGGTGAAAGTGATCATGAAATCATAGAGTTCATAATACTAAGGAAGGGTAGAAGGGAGAACAGCAAAATAGAGAAATGGATTTCAGGAAGGCGGATTTTAGTAAGCTCAGAGAGCTGATAGGTAAGGTCTCATGGGAATCAAGGCTGAGGGGAACAACAACTGAGAAGAGTTGGCAGTTTTTCAAAGGGACATTATTAAGGGCCCAAAAGCAAGCTATTCTGCTGTGTCGGAAAGATAGAAAATATGGCAAAAGATCGCCTCGGCTTAACCACGAGATCTTGCATGATCTAAAAATAAAAAAGGACCCTTCCCCTCCCCAGCTTCTGCCTTCCAGTTTGTGGGGCTGCCAGAGCCTTTTTGAATCTGGTGGTCGCTGGCCGTGACGTCACAACGCCACGTCACACCAGCATCCTGGCATCTGCTGGCATCCCGCCCTCCGGCTCACGCCCTGCCTCCTCGCGCTGGAGCTGCATGCAGGCAGCCCGACAGCGAGAATCACTGCATTTCCCCCTCCCCAGCAGCGTTCCGCTCCTCTGCCCGGCCGGAGGATGAGATGGGGCTGCGCCGCCCGTACTCGGCACGGGCCGCACAGTGAGCCCCTGCGGGCTGCATGCGGCCTTCGGGCCATATGTTGTGCAGGCCTGATCCAGAGTGTTCCCAGATGAGCTTGCTCCTGCACTCTACCTCCCACCCAGATTCTGCAACCCTAACCCTATCACACTCACTGGCAGCTCTGTCCCACACATTGGACTCCTCATTTTTGGCTCCACCCCAGAGCCTGGTGGGGGGGCCCACAAAATCCACTAACCTTGGAACCCCAGTCCTCCCTGTCCTTCCCCCTCCTCATGGCGCTGGAGTACCAGAGGAATGAGATGTCTCAGTTGGGAGCCACATCAGAGAGTGTTGAAGGGGCTGGTTTTTTTGCTTCTTACTTGTGTGGTCCCCAACTGATTTTTCTGTGGGTCAGTGGCCTGACCCACAAAAAAATTCCCACCCCTGCCACACAAAGACAATGTTGAAACCTTCTATGTTGGACATTAATATTTTACTTCCTTTAAAAATGAAGCCTAGCCAAAAAGCCCCCAATTGGGACCCAGCCCCCATCTGGCCTCAACATCATAACACTCCTGCAACTCCCCCCCCAACCCTAAGCCCTTCATACACCTGAACACTCTGCTCTGAGCATCTCATACCTCTACATCCCGAAACTCCTGCACCTCCACATCCCCTGTGCCATAAGATTGAGAGAAGGCAGCCTGAATGCATGCATGAAGCTGGATTTGACTAATTATGATGTAAACTTCAAAGAAATGTGCAAAAAGAAGTCCCATTAAATAAAGTCTGAGAGTACTTTTCATTTCTGCTATGATTAATCATGTCAATTATCAATAATATTACGTTATATATTTTCAGTCACACAAATGAGCACTCTTACACGGTTCTTTGTTAACCACTTGTTCTGAATTTTGATGTAATTTGGCTTTTTGGTTTCAAAAGGTTGCCAACGTAGAGGTAGTCATAGCCCTTGGCAGGCACCAATTATTTCCTTTCTGCTCTCTTGGAGATGAGCCGAATCAAAGAGGGTGTCTGCACAGCACCCTAGGGATCTTAGTCACCCCTTCATTCAAGGGTAAGGCCAAGGATTGTCAAGAGGGAGTCGCAGACCTCCTGGGACAGGTGGTGGGGCTACAATTGCCTCATCCCGCAATGCGGACCAAGAAGCAGTGGCCCCCCCCAATGGATAGTGGTTGATCCATTGACCTTTCCCTCAACCCGGGGGTGAGACAATCCCCCATCTCCAGTGCCGGAACCTGGCTTCCTGGAGGCACCGAGGATGGGTCCGAGGCTCCGGTTACTGAGCCTGCCACCTGCAGCCGAACCTGGAAGCCCCAGGGAGTCCAAGGGCACCACTGCACCTGCCATTGCTGAGGCCAGGGCTCTGAGAGGCCATCTGCGGAACCATGTAACATTTTGACCATGGGGCAGAGGGCTGCACCAGTGGCAGGGAGGCCGAGTCTGAGGCTGCACCTGTTGATCGGACACTGGCAGAATCCCAAGATCTGGAGCGTAATAAACACTCCTTACGGTGCTGAGAACGATCTCAGTGACCACGTGCAGGGCCTGCAGCGTTTAGTTGGCAGGCTCCTGTGGTCCCAAAAGGAGCTCTGAGAGCTCAAGTGACAGTGTTGAGACAGTGATCTCCAGCGCCGTGAGGCTGACTGCAACCTGCGGGAGTGGGCTCAGAGACCCGAGATACTTGATACTGGTGAGTATCAGGCTTGAGGAGAGCAGCAGTGTGGAGACAGTGAATAGTGCCTGGCGTGGTGCAAACTGTACGGAGCAGCACTCTCTCTACGGTACTGTTATGGCCACTGAGCGCATGCGTCCACAGGTCTGCGCTCCAATGTCCGGGGTGCCAGAGTCGATGACGTTGCATCAATACCTGTACTGACCTGGTGGGACTATGGCGAGCCCTCTGATCCGGGCACACCGGAGATTGTAAGTGTCGAATGCTTGGCAACTGGGTAGCGAGCGGCAGCTTTCCCCAATGCCTGGGCCCAGGCAGCCCCATCGATGATGGCACTGGCATACAGAGTATGTCCTGTGTCACTTAAAGGCCTCCTGTATGCGCATGTGGGGCAGAGGGGGGTGCTGAATGTCAACAGCCACGAGCGGCCACTGAGTTGGACTGGGGCTGGCCGCTTGCATTGGGGACTTGTCCTTGGCGCAGTCTGACGGACAATCCCCCTTGGCTTTCCCCTTACAGTCAGGAGAGCTGTCTTTGGCCAACTTCTTCAGCCCTCTTCGACTGGGCCAAAGACCCCCGGTGCTCCATAGGAGGTGCCAGCAGTGCACTTTGCACTGAGGCTGTGGTACTCAGCACTGAATTGGAGTGTAGCTCCTGCAGTGCTAATGGCAACTCCATTAGTAGCACCTTTAAATGAATTCCCCTTTCTTTTATGGTCCCAGGAGGGAAGAAGTGCAAACCCAGCGCTTAGCAGAGACATGGGATTCACCTAAGTCACGAAGACAGTCAGCACGAGAGTCGCTAATGCATAGGCCTGCGGCACACAGCACGGGGTTTAAAACCGGGAAAACGAGGCATGCTTGACCCCAGGTAAAGTCCCAGCAGGGACTAACTCACTGTTAATGACTTTATTACAGCACAAAAGAAACTATTGACAAGCGAGGGAATAAGAACACTAAGGCCAACGCTGGAGCAGCAAAAAGGAACTAAGGAGGGAGGGGCCTGGGAGTGTCCTATATAATGCAGCGTGTCTGCCATTCCAGAGGGTGTTGAGACCCAGGCCCCTATGGGTACTGCTCTGAGTAAAACTTCTGGCTTGGTCCTGCCTTGAGGGCGGGGGGCTGGACTCGATGACCTCTTGAGGTCCCTTCCAGTCCTATGATTCTATGAGTAGGGATACTAAATATCGGTTAACCTCATGAACTCTTACTGGTTAGTCAACTATTCTATAGTTTCTGGGGGTAGGGCCAGAAGCCAGCATACTTCAGTCGCACTCCCGGCAAGCCCCCTGCAACTCCACACTGCTGCCTCTGTATCAGACGGCAGCAGCCCTTATCCAGGGGAGGGGCTGAGCTCCCGGACCCGGCATGAGCCAGAACTGAACCAGGCTGCCTGCCTGCCTTGCTCCTAATACACTTTAAATGAAGAGACGTGGGGTTAGGTCCTGGACCTGGCATGAGCCAGGACTAAGCTGGGCTGCTGGCTAGCCTGCTAAAAAAGTTACTGGCAGGTGGAGGGGTGGGGAGAGGGAGGAGGAGAGAAATGTGTTTAGTCTATAGAATTAACATATAAGCATTTGCATATTGGTTAATCGACTACACTATTACATCCCTAGTGGTGAGCACGCCCCTAAGTTGAATGGACATGAATAAGCACTCAAAGAACTGCAAATATTGATCACCAACTAGCTATCCTGGTTCACATTATTGTTAACCACCAAGACTGATAGATCAGTTTTCTGTTTATTGTTTTCTTAATACTTATTTTGGAATTTGTTATCAGGAGACATGGCTCACTTTCTATTTAACCATGTATTTCTTGTGTTAATAACCACAGCCTGAACATACAACTAGCATAACAGGTCATATCATGTAATGTTCATCCATATGAAAGGTCTAACTTGGGTGTAAAAGCGACGAGGAGTCCTGTGGCACCTTATAGACTAACTGAAGTGTAGGAGCATAAGCTTTCGTGGGCAAAGACCCACTTCGTCAGATGCATGTAGTGGAAATCTTAAATTTAGATTAATCAACTAATCGAATAGTGGATGTAATTTGCAACTATTCTATTAGTTCATCTGATGAAGTGGGTCTTTGCCCACGAAAGCTTATGCTCCTACACTTCAGTTAGTCTATAAGGTGCCACAGGACTCCTCGTCGCTTTTGCAGATTCAGACTAACACGGCTACCCCTCTGATACTTAACTTGGGTGTAGAATCCTGCCTCTCTCTGCAACTCACAGGATTTTAACAACGTCCCTGTCCAGAGCCTATTCTAGTAGCAGACGCTGGAAGTGCAGTACCAGGTCTGAAATTTAGGAAATCATGTATTAGCATTGCTTTGTTGTTTTGGCTGAGATCCTAGAGGAGCAAGAAAGGAAGGAACAAAGGCATATTGTATGTGGAGGTCAAATGAATGAGAGAGCAGGTGCAAGAGGAAGGAATGGGAGTGTTGTAGAAGAAAACTGAAAAAATTGGGTGAGAATAAGACAAAGAAAAGGGACTCCAAAGAATTGGTGCTGATGGGAAAGTTCCCTCTAAGCAGCATGGCCATGCAGAATCCTATTCAGGCCTGCACACTGGCTATTAAGCTCTGTGTAGAGGCTCAAGGCTGCAGCAGGGAAGCTGCCATGGTTGGGGGAGCGTGGGCCCTTCCCCACCAGCCCCAGGATGGAACCACAATGGCTGGACAGCTCTGTGCTGGGGCTGGCAGGGAAGTGGCCAGCAACAGGTCCAGCTCCCAGACAGGTGCCAGAGGGCCACGAGCACTGCTCCCACCCTGAACACCAGCTCCGCACTTCCACTGGCCAGCTCCCAGTCAATCAGAGCTGGGCGGCAGTAGTGGTGGGCAACAGCAGCATGCAATGGCATGCCACAGACACTCCTGCACCCTCCAATCAGAAGCCAGACCTGCTGGCTACTTCCTGGGCTAAGTGCCATGCCCCAGGTCACACAGACATCAAACAACCTGCCTTTGTGTAGCTAACCAGAAGCAGCCAAGGTAAGCCCAAAATCCAACCCTTCCCCATCCTGAAACTCTCAAATCTAGATCCACCTCCTACACCACAAACTCCTCATTGCCAGCTCCTCTCCAGAGCCCACGCTTCCAGCTGGAGCCATCATCTCCCCTCCCTTACAGCCCTTACCACAGCTACCTGGCTCCACCTGCACCACACACTGTCCATATGCAGAAAGACAGCTGTCGTCTGATACATCACCTCCATATTGGTGCACATAACAAGTCTGTTCACACATTAACATAAAAAACTAGCGAGAACACTGCTGGTGGGCCAGCACAGCTTATGGAAGAGGTTAGGACAAAGAGGGTCCCTTGCTCCTAGTTCCAGGAGATGAAAAGAAGAGAACATATGTAGCCCAAGGGAAGGAACAAGATTCGTTATTCACAAGGGAACTCCTCAGGCTCAGCAGCAGCATGAGTTCAGAAGGAACTGCTTCTAGGGTCACTTCTCTGCAGCACCTTGGGTGGCAGGGAGCTCCAAAGCTTATATCTTAACATGGGATGGTATTTGCTATACTCACATTCGATTATTAGCTGCTGAAGAGAGGTTCTGCACATCACTGCTTCACACAGTCCCACTGTCTGCCAAGCTAAGTTACTAACTGAACATGATTCTCTTTATTAAGTGAGCCGTGCTTGACTAACCTGTTCGACTCTCAACATGTCGATGATCTGGTCAAATAAAGGGGTTCGCAGCAAGTCCCGGTGAATTAATAGCGTTTCCAGAGCATTACAGGCAGCAGGATATTCACATTTTGAATCTCTGACTGGGGTTAAAGAATGGACAATTGGTTACGTACCACTCCATATGAGAAGGTATTAAAAAGCAGAGGAGGTACAGATCTAAGAGAACATATCCAGTATTTCATATCAACCTCCGTCAACCTCTCAGAATGAAAAGGCCTCTCCCATCTTACCTATTCTGGTGACCTTCTCTACACTGGCGTCCGAATCCACATATACATGGCAGATCCCTTCACTGTGCCCCATAACCGGGATTCCTTTAGCAGCTTTTTGGATATCCCTAACCAGCTGAGAGGAGCCACGCGGAATGATCAGATCTATCAGCTTATCCAGACGGCAAAGATCTTCTACTTCCTCCCTGGTGTTCACCTGGAGCAATCAACCCAAGAAGCTATTACCGACTGTGATGGACTTAGAGCAAGGTGTTCTTCAGAAAGTCTTGTATGCGCAGTGCACGCATATGGCAACAAATCCTAGATTCACATCTAGGCACTCACCAGCTGCACTGCATCCTTGACCCCATGGATGGAAAGTGCTTCTTGTGTTAGATGGTGAAGGATTTGATTGCTATGCGCTGCCTCCTTCCCTCCTTTAAGTAACAAGCCATTTCCACTGGCAATAGCCAAAGCGGACACCTGTGAGAAAAAGAGAGAACCCATTAGTATCACAGAAATGATCTACTACATTTGCTGGCTATGGATATATTTCCAGGGGGACATTCTGCTCTCTTCCTGCCAGGCTGGCTATACTGCTATTTTGATCTTTAAGCCTAGATCTCCCTGGGTCCTTTGTCTGGCGTTAGACAAGATGGGTGAAGTAATCTCTTTCATTGGACCAACTTCTGTTAAGTCAAAGAGAAAACCTTTTGATCTACAAAAAGCTCTTCTGCTGGTATTGTGCATCAAGAGTATATTTATTAAATGTGTGGATGATACCAAGCTGGTAGGGGATTGCAACTATGGAAAAGGATGGGGGGAGGCAGGGCAGTCACAGCAGATCACAAGCTAAATACAAATCAATTGTGTAACATTATTGCAAAAAAAGCAAACATCATTTTATGATGTGTTATATTGTAGGTTGAACCTCTCTAGTCCAGCACCCTCAGGATATGACTAAGGACGTTAACATGCAGGTAATTAACTAACTGAGTTGGGGCGGGGGTACGCTCGCTACCCCCGCTGCTGCTCTGCAGTTTTAATGTAGTAGGAGTCGGACTGTCGCCTGGCTCCTACTACATTTGAACTACAGAACAGCAGTGGAGTTAGTCCCCAGAACAGCGTGAGCAGGGACTAAGCAGTCCCTGCTCGCACCATCCCAGGAGCTAACCCCGCTGTGGCTCTGCCTTTTAAATGTAGAAAGCCACCTGGCAAAGGTGCAGTGGGAGACTGGTCGTGAGGTGGGAATCAGTGGCTCTTTTTACATTTAAAAATCAGAAGTGCAGCGTCTGGGAATGGGTGAGAGCAGGGAATCAACTGATTCCTGGCTTGCGACCGGTCCCCCGCTACACCTCTGCCTTCTAACTCTAGTAAGAGCCAGGCAGCTCTTACTACATTTAAAAAAAGAGGCACAGCATCTGGGACCAGGTATGAGCTAGGACAGCTGATGCCCAACTTGTGCCTGGTCCCCCACTGTGTGTCTGCCTCCCTTGGCCGCCTGCAGAGATGGTGCTGGGGGTAACCAGCTTTTAAGATGGCTCCTGCTCCTCACCCTTTCCTAGAGGCAGC